ATGTTGATTCCAGCAGGGTATGAAAGGTGGCCGTAACTCTCTATTCAGAGGGGACAGAGCTCAAGAGGTGAGGCTTTGTAGGAAGCATTTGGAAATAAATAAGGTTTACGGACAAAAATTAAGTTCAGACTTCTCTTTGATAGTTATTTTTTTGAAATTTCCCCCAAATCCCAAACCAGCAGAAGAGGTACTTGACCTCACATACCACTTGGGGATTTCTTTTAGGCGAGGGTGGCAGTGTCCTCTGCTGACACCAGCCCAACGCTAGATCAGAGAGCAGACGCTCCGCATCCCACCCACCCTTAGCAGTGCTGTGGGACTCTTGTTCCTATTACTTGAGCAAACTCTTCCATAATTCTACTTTACTTTTTCTTCTTAGTGGCCAGTAACTTCCCGTTTGTTCTCCTGATAAATACCAGAACTTCAGCTAAAAATGGAGAAGTCGTCTAGATTCTCTTATCTTGTAAAACCCTGGCAGTGGGGTGCTGTGGTCGAGTTCAGGCAGATCCCCCCAACAGTCAGAGACGTCCGTCTGCACCTACTTGCTGCCGTGCCCTTCTGACGGCACTTACAGCCCCTCACGCAGGGACAGCAGGAACGGACACTGCTTTACTAGCTTTGCATCTGGTACATTAATTTACACCTCTATTTGCCTTCCCAGACCAGACACTCCAAGAAGAAGTGTGCTAAGAAGAGCAAGGCTAAATTTTCTAACATGGGGTCCATTTTGGACTCTTGTTCTAGAGATGCTGACAAGGAGTTTTGATTTTCAAGAATGTTTGAAGAATCCAGTCACTCAAGTAAAGTGGGAAACTTGCCTTTTTTTGAGCAAGTGGTCTTCCCTCATCAATTTGTATAGTACTGAAGATTAAAAATAGCTCTTCAGCTGGGGTACAGCTGTGCAGCATTGGCTGAAATGGAGCTGCACTGACTCACAACAAGCAAGCATCTGTACATAGCCCTTTACTATTGCAAACCACGGAACTTAACACTAAGTACTGGCGTGCCATTCACCGGAGCCAGCGGGCAGGCTGGCTAATACCGCTGCTGCTCCTCACAGGTGTGACAAACTACAGGAGAGCGATTTGAGGAGAGGTTGAAATTACCTGCCTGTTAAAAATCCCGTCTCCTTGTCCTTACCAGCACATGAACAATGTGTCTTCTCAATGGCACTAGTCTCTTCTTTCATTAGACATCCTCTGTGCCTTCTTCCATGTCTTTTTTCCCCTCATAGTGACTTTTTGCACTGGCTGTAGTAATTCCTTTGTTTTCTAGGCCATGAAACCATTCTCCCCCCTCTCCAATAAACAGAAAACAAATATTACCAGTCAGCGAGCAGATAAATTTCCATATGAAAAGTATCAAAAAGCTGGCTGTTCAAGGCTGACATTACAGAATTGGGATACATGAACACCACTGCCCTGAGCCTTCTGAATTTTTTTTTTTTAAACAAACGTAAACACTTTTTTCCCTTGCGGCTCTGAATGCCTAATCTAAATCCCTGGTTGGATGTATTCAGCACTAATATAAGGCACTGCAAAACCCATCAAACCTGAAGCAGATTCTCCCGTGACATCTAATTTCCTACAGAGGCTGGTACTCATGAGCCACTAATATCAATACCAAAAATCTCCAGTGGGGCCAGGTTTTCCTCCCGTGGGGCTGAGTGTCAAGCTGTGCCTGAAACTTAGCATTTTTGGTCTAGAGCATGATGGACTTCACCTCCACCACCACCACTTCCTAGTTTTTGGTAGCAGCTTCTTCCTCTCTCTCCCCTGCCCCGTACCCAGCTCCCCCAGAGCTTCGGGGGTTCCCTGGCACCCCCCAGGCCCACACAGCCCCGACCGGTGAGAAGAGCTGGAACCAAGTGGGGAAATGAGAGCAGCACAGCTTTCAGGTTACACTTAGGGGACAAAGAACTGCAACACACACCAAATGCTCTCCCGGGAGACTCCTTGCACAACTGCCTCTTTAGATAGGCTGACGTGGTGGATTCATGGTTCAAGTATCAGACAGAGGGAAAAGCATTGTACATGCTATTAAACCACTATTAGAGTATTTGCCCGCTGAAGTGAAGCTCCCTGTGCTTTCTAATGAATTCTCTGCATTTAGCATTAAGCGCTCTGTTTTTACAGAAAGTTACACTTGGGTAATTAATCTCATATTCGTTTCCTGCACATGTAAGAGAGCAGCCTTTGTTAGGGAATGATAAAACACTTCTAAGAATAGCGCTACTAAGAGCATCAGCTTTGTAAGATGTTACAGGAAAAATACAGACTCTTAACACCTGCTTTTTGCTTTTCAAAGTTTTGGAAATAACATTCTGCTTACCTAGAGCCAAATTCTGACTTGTTTATGCGTAGAAAACCTAATTGCTTTCATCAGAGAACAAGCATAAATGAAGGTATACTTTGGTCTTTAGGCTCCAATCTTGCAAAGATGTATTTGTTTAATTTTATAAACACTGTAAATATTCTCAGTGGCTTCAGTGGGACTGTCTGCAGTTCCCAGTCACACAACCTGAATTCATCACTTTGTCTGGTCTCCTAACTACAGATTCCACTGAAATTAATTGGATTTTCTTAGTGATTGTAATAGATTGAGGATTAAGAATTTATCTGTGTGTAAAACAAGAGACCCTCAGGCCGGACCTTACAAAGGCCGGATGCTGAACTCAGGAAAATGTAAACTGGGAGACAACCCCGTGAGAGCAACTGAGCCGCTCCGGTGTAAGAGAGGTCCCAACGAGCAGCAGATCGAGCCCGCATTTGAAGCTCCCTGGAAGCTTCAGCTCAGACCATGGGTTTTGCCAGCTGAACACAAAGGGTGGTGTAAAGCTTGGGGATTTATGTACGTTGTCAGTTCAGAACCAGAGCCAACACCATTCTCCTGTAAGTGGTTGACACTTGATACCTACTGAAGTCAGTTTAAACAGTCATTGTTTTAAAGCTTGTGTTGTTTTTAAGCAGTCACTGTGGTTCAGCCTGAGCTATCTACCACCCCAGTACAAGATGCACAAGCTACCATGCTGGTGAAACTATGTAAACAGTGGAAAAAAAATAGTTTACAGTGGGTAAGAGACAATTTGCATTTGGTTTGTAGCATCCACTGTGTAACCAGTCATATGAGAAAGGACATTAATCTTTGCTGTACTTGCAGCAGATTTCTTTCTGCTTTATTATGGACAAAGGAGTAGTTTATCCTCCTAACCAGAAAACAAAGCCTGATCTGCAGAGATCTGGCTAATCTAGTGGTTGATGTTTGAAGAATAACATAGACCCAATTTCCCTAGGTTTTGTAGTCCAAAATCTGAGCAGAGCAGACTGCAACTAGTCTTGTGAGCTGATCAGAGCCCCTGTTGTGACTATTATCTTGACTGTATAATGGGGGCTTTCAAATCCCAGCTTTATCACATTCTGTTTTCTCTACTTTGCCCTTTTATGAATATTGAGTCATCAAAAATAGCTTCACTGACAGAGTTACTAATGATACCAGCTGGGTGAATCAGTGGCTCTTACATTGTCTAGTGCCTGCTATACAGTGCTTTAGTACACTCGTTACGAAATATAGCAAAAATTAGATATCCATATTTTATTTGCAGCTCCCTTGAGACACATCATAGTGGTTATTTTAGAATTGGAAAATGCTAACTGAACAAAGCAAATATTCAGCCATTTCAATGCAATACTGTGATCTAAAAGAAGAAACTCTGGCTTAGAATAAGTTAAAAGTAAATTCTAACATCTGTAAATCATCCTTTCTCCTAGTTTTTAGTGCAAAGAAAAAATACACTACCAAATGATATCTACCACATTCTTCACGAGACAGTTATTCCTCATATTACTAGAAAAAGCTAACATCAGCAGTCCAGAAAAAATGCTGATAAACAGAAGTGAATACGACAAATGATGTAAGCTATGTATATGGCTCGGGAGCGTGATAGACGCATATGGTGGCATCCTTCTAGTACAGTGCAGTGCTCTGGGGTAAGTTAGGTTAGAAGTGCATGACTCAAACGAGTATTACCGATTCCAGAAGTGCAACAACAGTAACAGCACGCCCGATGAAGAACCATCACAAATGAGTATGCAAAATGGCCCACGATGGGCTCCTATTTTTAATGCTGTCCCAAGCAATTTTTCAAGGGTCATTTATTTCTACCCGGAGTGCCTTCCTCGCAGCCCCGCAGTGATACAGTTTCCTATGTTTGCAACACACACCCTTTTTTTTTTTTTTTCCCTGAAAAACAGGCCGGCAGATAGTGCCTTCCTCGCAGCCCCGCAGTGATACAGTTTCCTATGTTTGCAACACACCCCCTTTTTTTTTTTTTTTCCCAGAAAAACAGGCAGGCAGATACAGAACGAAACAAGGGGCCCCCTTTACACATAATGCAGTTGCAGCTCTCCGTGCATGCAGTGCTCGCTTCTCCTCACCAGCCCCCTTCACCTTTCAGCTATCAGGAACTTTACAGCATGGCATCTTCTAGCACCTCTTTATCGCAGACAAAAGTAAAGCCCGCTGCTAGCAACCGCCTCTGGCATATTAAATTGGTAAACAAACCTATTGCAGATGTTGCCTTTAGCAAGTGTCATAGAAATTACAGAGCATCTTAACAAAGCAGAGCCTCCGAATTTAAAGTATTAGTTTTTTTCAGGAGGTTCTTGCCCTTCCCAGGAAAAGTGACATCTGAAATTCGGTTACAACAATTCTGTTAGTTACGGCAACATTAACTGAAACCAAAATGTGGTTTTTAACCTAAGATATGTTGCGTAACAACTGAAGTAGTATAATCTTACGAGCCGGGAAAGGTTAATTCCAAAGGGCACAAGAATATCGGTGAAAACTAGCATACTCCATCAGCGCACGGACTTGTAAATCTTTTTGTTTTGGTCCAAGGCGAAGCCGAAGCAGGCGAGACATTTCAAAGGAAGAGCAAGACACCGCGCACATGCCGAAATCCGTTTAGGGAGAAAAAATATCAGCAGAGCCTCTGCACTTACGTATCTCTTGAGTTTCTTCTCGGGGGGTGATTTAATGAGCCATCCAGTGCAAACGACGTCCCCTGAGCTCATCTTCCCCCCCGGCGCGGAGCGGCGACGCGGGAGCCAGGGTGCGGGCTGCGTGTGCCTGTGCGTGCGGGTGCGGGTGCGGGTATTGTTCCCAGCCAATTTGAAACCAGCAGTAATCGGCTTCCTTCAGCTGTGCTCTGATACCGCTCCAGCCCGAGGAGGAAGTCATGACATTGATCACTGACACGGCCAGCCCTCCC